GAAATTATGGGTTTACACCAGGTACCATGATTGGCGTCCTGACCTTGCTGCTAAGAACATCTGCAACAGGAATTATTTTACTTTTAGGTACCCAGATCTTCTTGGGTCCTTTTGGGTTAGTTGTTCTGAAGGTTTGTTTAAACTTCTGTTTTTCAACATAAGGTTTATTCTGACTAGCCTTAGATTTAAACACATGAATATTCTTTTCAGAACGTGTTTGTTCAATATCATTCAAGTGGCCAAATTTAAAGTGGGAATATAAAGGAGGTTTCTTGATGATAATTTTATCAACGGGTTTTGGATTTAAATCCTTTCTAGAGGAAGATTTATATCCAATTCCTTTTCTGTTATTTCTGCTAACTCCATAGATCATAGAAGCCATTTTGCTTCTGTCTATGCTTTTAGCAAGAAACTTCTGAAAGCTGTAATCATATTTTTCCAAAATATTTTTGCATTCAGATTCAGTTTCAGAATCAGAGTTGTGTTGAGCTAATTCAGAATCATTTTTCAATTTTAAGTTCTTTTCATTTAACTCAGCTACTTCTGATTTGAGAATATTATTCTCAAATACAAGATTGCTTTGACGCTTCTTGTATTTGAGCTTAATATTGTTATAGCTTTTCTGAACTTCTGATAACACTTTGATAAGTTCTTCTTTAGTGAGTTTAGCCATTACCTCTTCAGCGTCAGAGTCAGATTCAGATCCTGAAGTTCCTTCCTCCTGATCTTCTATGTCTGCCATCAAAGCTACATTGGCACATTCCTCTTCTGACTCAGATTCAGATTCAGATGTATCTGAATCATCCCAGGTGGCCATTAGAACCTTTTTCTTCTTATCAGATTTTCTTTTAGGCTTTTCTTTCAGCACCTTTGGACATTCATTTTTGTAATGTCCAGGTTCTTTACATTCATAACAGACAACCTCCTTTTTGCCAGATCTTCTGTGTCCAGAAGACTCTTTTCTTTGGTCAGGCTTCCTGAAGTTTCTGAACTTTTTTCCTTTATGCTTCCAGAGTTTGTTTATTCTTCTAGACAGCATGGATAGTTCATCTTCATCTTCAGATGAGGATTCTTCAGAGCCTTCCTCTATTACCTGCAATGCTTTAGCAGATTTATTAGATTTTAAATCAATTGATTTACCTTTCTTTTGAGGTTCATCTTCCTCAAGTTCAATTTCATGACTTCTTAGTGAACCGATTAGTTCCTCCAAGGAGATCTTGTTCAGATCTTTAGCCATTTTCAGCACAGTCACCATAGGTCTCCATCTGGTAGGTAAGCTTCTGATGATCTTTTTCATATGATCAGCAGTAGAGTATCCTTTATCCAGAACCTTTAGTCCAGCTGTAAGTATTTAAAATCTGGAGAACATAGCTTCAATAGATTCAGAGTCTTCCATCTTGAAGGCTTCATACTTCTGGATTAGAGCCAGAGCCTTTGTTTCCTTGACTTGAGAGTTTCCCTCATGAGTCATCTTTAAGGACTCAAACATGTCAAATGCAGTTTCTCTATTTGTTATCTTTTCATACTCAGTGTGAGATATTGCATTTAACAATATTGTTCTGGCCTTGTGGTGATTTCTAAATTCCTTCTTTTAGGCTTCTGTCATAGATTTTCTATCTACTTTCTTGTCATTCCCATCAATGGGATGAACATATCCATCTATGACCAAATCCCATAAATCAGCATCATAACCAAGGAAAAAACTTTCAATCCTGTCTTTCCAATAATCAAATTTCTCCCCATCAAACATAGGGGGTTTTGTGCTGATTCTGTCCCTTTCTTCATATTTGTTGTTAATGTTAGACATTGTATTATCAGCCATAGTAACAACCAAATATATATCAAAGTTTTTCACACTGGATCTTTACTGTCACTGTGAAGTGGTAGCACACACAGAAACGGAGCTCTGATGCCAACTGAAGGTGAGAAAATACTTAGAAGGGGGGGGGGGGTTGAATAAGTATGAAGATAAAAACTTAGAAATAAAACTCAAATATTTTTATCCTGGTTCGTTGAACTCAACTACTCCAGTCCACCTTTCCTAGAGTGATTTTCCTTTCTCAAACAAGGACTTAATCCACTATTCAATCAACTGATTACAATAGTAAGCACTAAGAACAACTGTTCAAAGTCTTCTCAAGAACTACTGATCCTAATTGGATCTTCTTAAGGATTTCTTACAATCAAATGTAATAACAAATACAAGTGTTTAAATTGCTTCTAATAAAGCTTTATCACAACTGTGATTTTTCACTTAATATTAAGAACAAAGAAATTAATTCTAGAAAGAATGTGAGTTGTATGAGAGCTTTGAATAATGAATTTTTTTCAGGTAAAACGTCAACTGAAGAAGATGGTTGAAGACTTTCTTTTATAGGCACATTGATTCAAAAGTATTTCACGTTGAGAAGAGTGTACCAAAAGGTCTGAGCCTTTTTGTCTTCACATCAAGTGACATTTCCTAGAAGAAGAAAGTACAGAGAAATCCTTTTTGTCTGTGTTCTTGTGTCTAGCATAAATAAGGAAAGAGTCGTTTGGATATTCCAACGGACAAAATCTTTGAATTCTTCTTCATCAATTTTCAGCAAGAATCGTCAGAGTCTAAATTGATCAGAGCCTTCTGATGTTGATCAGAGTTTTGCTGAATCAGAGTCTTTGCAGCAGGTGTGCTTTTAGCGTGTATAAGTTCAGAGCATATTTGAGTCAGATCCTCAGTACTGGCAGCTTTAGTACTCTCAGAATCTTCTGTAGTAACTATGCTTGAAAACTCTTCATACAGAATTCTTCTTTGGTTCAGATACTTCTGACTTGCTTCAGATTCTTCTGGAGCTTCTGCTTCAGATCCTTCTGGAGGCTACGCTCAGAATCTTCTGATGGCAGCGTTCAGAATCTTCTAATAGATGCATCTGGCGCTTCAAAGCCTAGCATATTTTTTATGTTCAGTTCTGATTTGCTTCTGGAGTGATAATTACTTTAATATCTGCAGCAAACACTCTTAAGCAAATTTTAGAGTATATAATTCTTAATTACAAAATTTCATAATAGTTATCATCAAAACATAGAGATATTATTAAGAACCAATCTGTGTTCTAATAATATTTACATTTAGTGTTTTTTATGCATATTCAATTTTTTTTAAAAAAAAATTCTTTTATAATATAATAAGCTACATGTTAGCAATTTTCACTTTAAAAATGGCAGACTACTTTGAGTTTTATTCCATAGCTAAATTGACCATGTAGTTTGTCAATTTAGGACTTATATTCTTTCTTATTATGTCACAAATATGTAAGAAGAATATATCAATTTTATCAATAATTTATTACTTTTAGTAAAATATTTTTTCCTAACCACATATTTTTATTCACAGAAATCGGTGGTGATGCTCTAGGATTATTGAAGCACTATTTTTATATAATCGTATCAACTAATTTATATCTATTTTAAATTTTCAATGGTTAAATCATATACATTTATTTTATCTAATATAAAATTACAGTACATAACAAATTTAGACTAGTTGATGAATGCACTTTTGAAAGAGATAACAAATTTAGACTAGTTGATGAATGCACTTTTGAAAGAGATAACAAATAAATAAATATAGAAAATGTTTAAGCAAAATGTCCACTTAAATTAGTATATTACAACGTTGCTTATAAAAAAAAAAAAAAGAGTACTAGTATATTAGAATATTACTTTATGACCAATAACTTTCTACATTAATAGTCTTTTTTTTTTACTTGTTTTTCCACTGCCGCCTTTTTGACGCAGTTTTTCACACTGCCCCTAATATTCCTCTCACACACAAAAAAAGTTGGAAATATAAAAATGCAAATTAACCACATTTTCCATAAAAGATAGATGCGTTGGTGATATGAGTTGCCCGCTTAACATTAATTTGCAATACAATTTTTTTATACCGCTCTCAAGATTTAAATTTTCATTCTATAAAATAGAAAACTTATTTTGAACATTGAGCATGGCAAAAACTGAGCCATTATGCACTCCAACAGTAGCAATAAAGTTCTATCTTATAAATGAACATCATACAAAAACCTATACATGATTACATAATAAATGAGACGCGACAAAATTTCCCTGCTATATAGGGATATATACACCTGAATCTTTATCCGTGTAATGCGTTATATCATCTAGCTTACCTTCTGTTGCCAACTTCATCCACTAACCTGTCAGAAAATTATTTGCTTTTAGAAACAAAAGGGAAATTGTGAAATGAAATTAAAAACTAAAACCCTAAGTTAGAGAAACATTTATTAATTAAGCAACTTATCTAAAAGGAAATGAAAAAAGAGGAAGTGTGAAATTCTTAAATTGTATTGTATGCTTTTAAAATCATCCACCACTTCAATTCTCTCTCTCTCTCTCTTCTTTTCTTTTCTTTTTTTAAATCATCTTTGACATCAATTAAATTTTACTAGCTCCTACTCAAATACAAATAATAAAAACTCAATTTTAATGTTTCTCTGAAACTAAGTTTGAATAAAATTTTTAATCAAGAGTAGTTTGAATAATGCAAATACTTTTTAATACATTAAAAAATTCAATGATATCAACCAATTCTATTCTTTGAACCGTTAATCAATCCTTAAAGGGTGTTAGATGTTTTTTTTTTCTTTATATTTTAGACTAGGGGAAGTATCATAAAGTATCAACTCATTATAGTAATTCGTTATTTTAATATGAATATAAATACTGAATTTATTATACTGTCAAAAAAACAAAAAAAAACAAAAACTGAATTTATTATACTATAAAAACCAAACTGAAAAATTAGAATAAATACATACCGAATAAACAAAGGGATCATGACGCCCGCCTGAGCCTGATCTTTTCACGGCGTCAGCCCTAAGCAACCTGCAAACAACGATTTGATTTATGATGTCATAAATATAACCAAAGTTTCCCTCTGACTTTTGTGAAAACAAAATAAATTTATAGTTCGTGTGTGTGCGTTAGTGCGAGAGAAAGAGCTATCACATTCGGAGAGCTTTGCTTGTGTCAGGGCTATCCCCGAGCATTTGACGGATCCTCACTTCAGAAGAACCGCCGTGAGAGAGAAACTTCAATATTGCTTCGCTTCGCCGACGCAGGTGCGGCGTTCCGGCAACAGACTTCACACGGTTCTTAGCCATCGGAGGCGGTGCCTTCTGTTGGTTTCCAGTCTCTGTCGCACTCACACATCTGCTTCTGTTAGCATAACGCAAGCTTCGCGCGCTTGAGGTGGTTGACAAACACGACGTAGCCTCTCCGGACGCAGATGCCGGATAAACTTTTGTAGTGGTGCATGTTTTCACTTTCCGGTCGCCAGAGCAGGAAGAGGACGACCACATCACCTTCGACCTAATCTTCCTCGCGATCTTTCAGAAACCAAAATTCATCGTTTAATCAGATTTCAAAGCATCGAAGACTCAAAACTGATAAATAATCAAAAAATTCAAAAAACGAAAATATCAAATGTATATTCCTTCAGATTTAAACACGCTTAGATTCAATTTTATTAGAACGTTACAAAATCAATTCAAACAGAAAACAAGCAAAAAAATCTCGGCAGATCTGAATTCAAATTTCAAGTTACACCAATTTTTCTAGATCATTCAAACGGATTCAAAGAACAGTAAAAACGAAACAGAACGGAACAAAAAATAAACAAAAAAGTAAAAAGAAAATAAATAAAATTAACCTTGAACTTCATCCGATGAAAACGATGAGTTGCAGAAAAGAACGAAACAGGATATGACTTCATCTCTTCGCTCTGATATGAAGAATCATCGATGACCAAAAAGGAAGACGAAGCTGAAGATCTATTCGAAACAGTAGTAACGGAACTCGCTTTGAAAAGCTTGCTACTGATGCTCTTTCTTTCTCCAGGAACTCCATAATCGGAACTTGAATGAAACCTTCGGATGAAAAATAAAACCGAAATCAGAGTGAAGATATAAAAAGGAAGAAAATAGAAAGATGAATGATGAAGGAGTGTGCATGAATCACCTTGGTGTTGTATGGAGAAGAATCATCGCAGATGCAGCTGTTAGTTCTTCAGAGCTTGGAAAGGAAGACATTGTTAGTTAAAGAAAAGCTTCACACTGTTTTCGTTTCTCTACTAGCTTTCAAATTTTAGCGGGTATATTTCAAATTTTTCAATCTCTTCGTGTGACTTCCTCGTGAGCATTTTCTGATTTGTTTTTTTTATTATTCTAAAAAAATGTAAAATTAGTTTTTTTTAAAGTTATCTATCATAATTTAATAATAACATACTCTCTTATACTATTCATTTTGGAAACTTCAATAATTTTTTAAATATTAATTTTAGTTGCATAGGGTGAATGAATTTAAGAGTGTATTTATTTTTGTTGCTAATACTGGAATGATAATTATTTGAAAAATTCTTAAAATTTTAAATTACACTCATCTCGAGAGATATGCTTATATTTCAACTACATTCTCTCTTACTCGCCAAAATAAATTATTATAAAAAAATTGGATTTAAATTTTCTCCTTTTTTATATATTATGTCATCTTTCATGTTTTTAATCTATCAGTTCAGAATTTATAATGACAATAACAAAGACAAATTACTTATTCATTTCTCTCTCCTATTAAATGACTTTTTTTATTTAATAATTCATTATAAATTTTGAACCGTTAGATTAGAAACATGAGAGATGACATGATATATAAAAAAGGAGAGGATCCAAATCCGAAAAAATTATACTCTTTTTTTAAAGATTAATAAATTGCATTCTCATCGCTTTTTTTGATGGAGGAAGTCCACGAAGTTTCTTTCGGCACTCATGCCAATGGACATGCAATGGCAAGAAAATTGTTGAGATCTGGGTATTATTGGATGAATATGGAATCCAATTGCTTCAAGTACGCCAGAAAATGTCATAAATGCCAGATTTATGCTGACAAGGTGCACGTGCCACCGGATCCTCTGAATGTGTTGACGTCTCCTTGGCCTTTTGCCATGTGGAGAATCGATGTGATTGGAAAGATTGAGCCTGTAACACCCCCTTTCTATACCCCCAAATAAACAAATAAATCATTTAATCACTTATTGAAATTTCGTCAGAGTAAATTTAAAACATGGTATAAAAGGAGCATGTCACACATACATGAAAATAAAACATGCAACACCTGCTCAAATAAAGATATGTAACAATGGGGTAGCTACAACATAGAAACTTCGTTCTTACGCCCATGTCTCAATATTTAAAATTAAAGTGAAAGATTAAAACATTTGAATCACTTAAAACATGTTATCATATAAATACATAATTCAGTTTGGTTCACCATATCGTTCATGTTTTCCAAAACATTATCAGCTGATACATTTACAAATGTATCACCAAAGGATGCTATACAATCCTAACTAGCCGGTGCTACATATCAGAGCTGACCGACAAAAGAATGAAGCTATACTTCACAAAAAGACCTCCAGCAATTCTAATCTTCAATGCCTCATAGAGCATTATAAAACAGCAGAAGGGTGAGAAATATTATCATAATAACAATGCATATAATCATGTATTTATAAATATAGACATAAAAGTATACATATTTCGCATTCTCACCACATTCATCATAATTTACTCATATACATCGTCATATATACACATATATATAATCCAAGCATAATGTCATGTACACTTTCACAATTTCAATCAAATCCACATAAACATACACATTATGTTTAATTCACTACAAATCATATAAACATATACAATCATGTTTATTCATCAATTCACAATTTCACATCCGCAACTCTCAAATCAACAACATGCTCATAAGCATACTTTCATACAATAATCACATTTTCACAACTCTCAATTACGCAAGTAATGCACATACGTATATTACACAATTCTCACCATACTTCATCACAACTCATCATACACTTCACATAGCATATATATATATATATATATATATATATATATATATATATATATATATATATATATATATATATATATATATATATATATATATATATATATATATATATATATATATATATATATATATATATATATATATATATATATATATATATATATATATATATATATATATATATATATAGGCAAATATGGACAATCATCAACATATCCATAATTCTCAATTACACAAGTCATGTACATACACCTATGCATAATTTTATATAACAATCATATATTCATTCCATGAGACTCAATGCAACTCATGCCATGTGGTACCAACACTTGTTATCATTTTTCGGTTTTTACATTTAAATCGGGTCCACCCTTCTAGACCGATAACAACAAAGCTCGTTCCCTAAGCTTTCAAACCCACCCTTCTAGGTTTGGGACAAGCCACTAGTCTCCACGAAACTAGCAAACATTGCCTCTTGACTAAATGATGCATATGCAATCAACCACAAATGCACTTAAGACCGATCTCACGTCTTAATCCCTTGCATTCAAATAATTCCTCCCTTCAAGAATTAAAACAAGATTGCACACACAACATATCATAAAATCACGTATTCATACTTTACATCATCATGTTTATCAAACAATGCACGCATATCTTACAATATGCTCCCATGCATTAATTCACAATAATCAGATACAACAAATATGCATTCATAATTCAACCTCGTTACCTTTTCAAACAATGCACACATATTCACAATATGTTCTCATGCATTCACAATATCGCATACAATCAATATGCATTTACACTTCAATATCATTACCACATTTATCAAGCAATGCACACATATTCACAATATGTTTTCATGCATTCTTCACATACAAACAATATGCATATATTTGTCAAAAGACTATATTTCATAATCGATTCCACCATCTAGGATTCACGCCATACGGCTACCCACAACATATCATATGACAACATGCACAAGCTATACGTTATATAACAAAAGTATTATGCACAATAACACATCAATCACACACATTCGCGACGGTAAAATCAACACAACAATATATTTTCAATTTTCTGCTATAATTGAACCAGTTACAGGCCTTAAAGCCATTTTTTCTAGAAAAAGCATCTCGTTAACTTACCAACACTTCAAACGGGGGTCAAAACCGACTTACGGTTCAAGAGTTATGAATTTTCGAAGTTTTCCAAAAAAACCAGAATTTTGCCTAAACACGGCTACGGGATTTTGCATTTTCGCCCGAAAATCCGACCGATTCAATTCTTTTTTTCGAAACAAACACATACTCATACTCACCTAACATATAGCAGTGAATTAGAACCATTAAACACGATTTCTACGACGTCTGATTTCCACTCAAATCTCAAACCCTCAACTATCCAAAAATGTCAAAACTCACAAACTCAACCAAATTCAATCAAACAAAATCCAATAATCACGGCTAAACATTACCCGACTAAACTACGCAATTTATTTTGAATTCTAACCGTTCAAAACTCGATTCTACCGATTAAACCATTTATGCCATAGAATGGAAATGGAGAAAAACACCCAAACAAACTCAAACAATCCATACATAATCACATACATTGATAAGATAATGATATTTCACACCCTTACCTTGATTAAATTGGAGCTAGAAGTTGTTCTTGAGATTTTCCAAGTTTTTCCTTCTTCTCCTTCTCTTTTCTCCTCTTTCTCCTTCTTTCTCTATTCTTTCTCTTATGTTTTCTATTCTTTTCTTTTCTCTCCAATTTTCCTTATATATCCTTCTCTTTTCTTTCCCTCTACTTTCCTTTTATATCTTTCTATTTTCTTTCCATCATAATTCTTCTCAAAATATATACCAATTCATTTTCTCATAAAATATCTCATCTCATCATTAATTAATTAGAGAATATATAGTAAATCTACATTATTCTACCAAATAGAATAAACCAGTTAAATCCATTAACTCATATAATTGAAATAAATCCAATTAATTCATTTAAATCAAATAAATCACATAATCCAATTAATTACTACAATTAATCAATTATTGAAAATTAGGTTGTTACAGAGTCGACTGCTTCTAATGGACATCGCTTCATTCTGGTCGCGATTGATTACTTTACAAAGTGGGTAGAAGCAGCGTCCTACGCCAATGTCACGAAACAGGTGGTCGCCCGATTCATAAAGAAGGACATCATTTGTTGTTATGGAATTCCTGAGAGAATCATTACCGATAATGGTTCAAACTTGAATAACAAAATGATGAAAGAACTGTGTCAGAGTTTCAAGATTGAACATCACAATTCTTCTCCATATCGTCCGAAAATGAATGGTGTTGTTGAGGCAGCTAATAAGAATATCAAGAAGATTGTGCAGAAAATGGTTGTGACCAATAAAGACTGGTACAAGATGTTGCCTTTTGCTCTTCACGGTTATCGTACTTCGGTGCGTACATCAACCGGGAAAACTCCTTTCTTACTGGTGTATGGTACGGAAGCGGTCCTGCCATTAGAAGTTGAGATTCTTTCTTTAAGGGTATTTTCGGACGTGAAGCTTGACGAAGATGAATGGGTGCAAACCAGGTTGAATCGGCTGAGCTTGATTGATGAAAAGAGGTTGGCAGCTCTAGCGCACGGCCGGTTGTACCAGAGTAGGATGAAGAAAACCTTTGATCAGAAAGTGCGTCCTCGGTGCTTCTAGACGGGTAATTTGGTGTTGAAAAGGATCCTTCCTCCTCAGGCAGATCACAGGGGAAAATGGACTCCTAACTATGAAAGTCTGTTGCGGTGAAAATTGGATATCAAGCTATTAATTAACTTGAATCTTAATTCTTTTACAACCGGACTTTATTTTATCCAAAGGAAAGGTCTAAAGAAAGAAAAACCTTTTTCGCGATGTAACGACAACGCTTTAAGAGATTCGGGGATCGGGGGTTAGTTATATCTAGGGAAGGTATTAGCACCCTAAATATTTGTAGTACTCTACAGGAACCTTTTGTTTGATTGATTGCTAAGTTTGTGAATTGTGCTATGGTTAAGGGATAAGATAAAAACAAATAAAGTCCTAAGTGGTTTCCTAAGTTTGCTCGCAAAGACGTCGCATCTTCTACCTACGTATCCTGACTAGGATAGAATCAGA